GCCGTGCCCTGCCTAGAAGCTGGTGTTACTCTCATTAAGTGGCAAGCTGTAGTTGAAATCATTGCATGAAATGTAAGTGTTGCTGGAAGAGTATCATAATCAACAGCCGTAAAAGCAAGGCAGGGAGAGGCATAGCTGAATGATACAGCTAAGCAATGATAGCAATAATGACTAATTAAACAGCCCGATCGCTCTAATAATAAGGTGCAGCGCTTGGGGAAGAAAGAAAGAAAAAACGAGCCAGACGCTCTTCGAAGCGATTCTGTTTGTTCATTTGCAATTCCAAAGGGTTTTCAGTTGGGAGGGGGCAGTGGAGGAGGAGGAGAAGCACTCCTAAACAGCTGCAATTTAAATTACTACTGTTTGAGGAATGGCTCAAGGGATGAACAATCAGGTGAGTTTCCTTCCCTCCCCCTCAAATTATTATTTGTTAACATTACCCACAGCAACTGTGGGGAAAGAGAATTGCATATTGATCTTAGTTTTGATTTTTTGCATGTGAGACAGGGGGAAAAAAGCCTTGGGCGGGTGCTCCTTTAGGGCACTGCACATGACGAGGCCCAGAACATGTAGTAAATGCACTGAAAGATGTCAGAGATTTCATCTTGGGGCAAGACATGCTCCTTGCTTTGTCTGGACTATTTTCCCCTGGCCTGGGAGGTCAGAAGCCCTGGCTGACTGCTCAAAAACCTACCTATGCTATTTAGGATGCCTAGAGACCACCAGGATGGGATATTGTTTAGGGGTTGTTTCCTGGGGTTGAGATTTAGCTGCGGAGATGCATCATGTTTCACTGTTAATCTGGATTATGTTCATTGTTAGAAAGGGTCATCTAATCCAAGCCCCTGCAAATATTAAATATCTATCATCTATCTATCTCTCTATCTATCTATCTATCATCTATCTATCTATCTCTATCTACATCTATCTATCTATCTATCTATCATCTATCATCTATCTATCTAGATATCTATCTATCTATCTATCTATCTAGATATCTTAGATATCTATCTATCTAGATATCTTAGATATCTATCTATCTATCTATCTATCATCTATCTATCTATCTATCATCTATCTATCTATCATCTATCTATCTATCTATCTATCTATCTATCTGTCTATCTATCTATCTATCATCTATCTATATCTATCTATCTATCATCTATCTATCATCTAGATATCTGTCTATCTATATCTATCTATCTATCTATCTATCTATCTATCTATCTATCATCTATCTATCTATCATCTATCTATCTATCATCTATCTATCTATCTATCTATCTATATCTATCTATCTATCTATCTCACACATACACACATACATACAGTTGTTTAATTTTATTGTATATTTGTCCACTCGTTAGTTAATTGCTTGCGATTATTTAATTTCTTTTGTAACGGTGACTTATGTAAAACTTTTTTTTTAATGTTGTGAGGCTTCCTTCAGCATGGTTTGCCATGGAAAGGTAGCATATCATTGTAGGTACCGATATCCCAAAGGACCAGAAAAGACTTTTTATGTATGCTACAACAGTCACGCGGATGCTACTAGCCCAGAGATGGAAAGAAGACAAAGCCCTGACCAGAGAGGAATGGCAAATCAAGCTGATGGACGACGCCAAAATGGCAAAACTGACCAGAAAGCTCAGGAACCAAGAAGACAAAAACTTTTAAGAAAGAGCGGGAAAAATTTATAATTTATGTAGGCAGATGAAAACATTAGCAGGATTTTAATAACACTTGTAATGTAACAAGTACTATGGACAATATGGACAGATTTAAAATATGGAATATGAAATAATATGCAGTTGAAAATGTTGACACTGAGACCCAAGGAGGGGATGTGGGGGGAGGGAGTCTAGAGATTCAGAGAAATCTCTAAAGGTGATATCTATTTGGTATTGTTGTAACTCCACATTTGTAAAACCCAATAAAAATAATTTTCAAAAAAGGAGAGAGGAAAGGTAGCATATAAATAAAGGAGGAGCAGGATGTGGCCTGGAATGTTTAATGAGAGTGGCGCTGCTGGATCAGGCCTGAGGTGAAGTAACTTAACAGTGATGCTATGAGGGGAAAGAGGGCCTAAACTTGTATATCTCAATCACTGTGTTGAGATATTGTGTATCGCTGTTCAAAGTTGACTAAGGACCTTGAGCACATAAAAAGAGCCCTGCTAAATCAGGTAAAAAAAGATCCTTCTAGTCCACCATCCTGAACTTTCAGATGCCTGTGGAAAATCTGAGAGTAGGACCTGAATGCAACAACTCTTCCTCCCCTCTTGTGACTTTGTAAGGTTTTATGGATATGTTACATTCATCACCCAGATACTTTGTTTACTGTGTGGTATATAAAGCCCATAAGTAAGTAAGTAAGTAAGTAAGTAAGTAAATAAATAAATAAATAAATAAATAAATAAATAAGCAAGCTTACAGCTCCTCTCTCCTCTCCAGCATGAGACTTCTGAGCAAAAGCAGGTTGCTTTTTGAGATCTGAGGCAAGGATTTCAAATTGATTAATGCAGCTGCTCCGGGGTGTGTGATGGGAGGAGTGCAGTCTTTTCAAAAGTCCCTCAAAGGCTCCCCCTTACTGGCTTCCCAGAAGTAGTGTGGCAGAGTTCATCATCTTTGTTAAGGAAATTAAACCGAGGAGCTAAGTCCCTGGGTGAATTTGCTATTAATACTCAAAATAATCTGTGGATTGTTATCTATTCCTTTTTTTAGATTTGTAATTGGCTTTTCAAATTCTACTGTTCTAGTTGTGCTTTTGGCTTTGTAATTTTTGGGATGAGAAAAGAGAGAAAGGAAGAAAGAAATTTCATGCTGGATTTTCTGTCTCAGAAATGGTTCTGTAAGAGACAAGTAGGAGAGGTTCCCAGAGCTGGCCTGTGACATTTGCTGTCTGAGGTGAAAGTCAAGATGGCGTCAGTTCCCAATTCCACATACAGTTGTTGACTGGATCGGCAGTTGAATCTTATGTCGACACTAGTGGTGGGACCAGCGTCCTCCACTACACCTGAGATCAGTAGGCTACCTTAGGAGGCACAGGGTGTTTGCGGGGCACACACAGATCTGTTCTTTGATAGTAGGAAATGGTGTGTATGTGTTATGAGGAACAGCCAGGAGGAGGTTGCCGCTGCACGACCACCTTCTGCAGCATCTGCTGCCTGAGGCAGTCACCTCACTTTGCCTTATGGTAGGTCCACTTCTGGAGGCACTTACCCAGTAAGCAACAGGACACAAAAACTGAACAAATCAAAGAAGGGCCCTAGAATATCTTTGAGAGGACCAGCCAGCACGTCCTCATGTGCTCTTTGTTGATGGCTTTAGTTCAAGTGGGATTTGGGCAAATGGCCCCTCTTCATGTAAAACATCTGAGAAATTCTGAGGGATCCCATGAGATTTTTCTCAGAGGAGGGTGGGATTCCATGTAACCCCAAAATGGCATCAGATAGTGTGTGAAATTTGAAATGGATTTGGTTTTTTGTCCTCAGGCAAGTAAATAAGACAGGCATGTCCAAAGTCTGTTTTGGGGGCTTAAACCGGCCCACCGGTTGGTCTAATCTGGCCCCTGTGGCAGTTAACTTTGGTTGGCCCCTAGGTTGGACCTCACACACACACTCACTTCATCAAATCTGGCCCTCTTTGAAAAAATTTGGACACCCCTGATCTAAGGACAGGGTGGCAAACCACTGGCCTGCAGGCCTGATCTGGCTCACTGAACCTTTCCCAACCACCATCAGTCCCCAACCCCAACCAAAATCAGTGGCATTTGTGGCACCATTACCAGACAAAGGCAACTTCCCTCTTTGCCATGCACTGTGGAAACAGGAAGGATCGCTGCAATATGCTCTGAATGCTCAGCTACGGCTGGCAGCACTCAGGAACAGATCAGAGTGCTCCTTCCTGTTTCCTGAGTGTTCTGCTCTGCACTGGTGTTTCCCACATGCTGATGGTGGCTAAGCACTAAGCAAAAAAAGGAGGATAATTGACCATGGCTGGCAATAATGAGAGCCCAGTCTAGCTATGCCCTCTTCACAAATGCATTCCGAAGGACATTTTTATGACTAGGAACATTTCTCAAAAGGGATTTCAACACATCCCTAATCAGCAATATATCTCTCTATATCTCTTTATATATGCAGGAGCATGGTGCCTATATTCACCAAGTTTCCTGCTTGAGATAATATAACTGTGATCTTTCATTCCCCATTTCCCCCATGCCCACCTCTCATGGCCTGTGCCTTGGCATTGCTTGACAGCTGGGCCTGTGGAAGCGAGTGGAGCTGTCAGTGGTGATGGACATTTTTTATCAGTGCATGACTCCAGGTGGAATACACCCCACTCCCGCCCTTGGCGGATGCATCTGACAGCCAGGTGTGCAGTGTCTTCAGTGAGCCAAGATAGTGTGTGTGTGTGTTTATGTGTGCAATGGACAAAGTCTGCAGAGAGCTTCTAGGCACAGACGCTTTCTCTGTCATTCGCACATGCATACATTGGTGCTAAACAACCAGTGCTTTATTCACACACAACACACTTAAGTGTGTTGAATGTGCATGGATATCCTTTCCTGTCACATGCAAATACAATCACTCTACTTCCACGCATATTGGAAGACTTCTGGATTCTGTGCATAATGAATTGTCCCATGAGCTGGGCTTTGCTTTATTAAACCTCACCACAAGTCCCCCAAAGCTATGCTGGAAGGCAAATTAGATGTGGGGGCTTTTTTTGCAAGGCGATTGAGAGATGCAAAATTTAACATCCTTCTTTAAAAAATGGCCTCCAGACCTTTGCACTAATTCCGTGAAGACCTGAAAAACAGTTGACACACCTGGGTGAAAAACAGCTGACACATGTTCAGGTGAACATCTGAACATAGCTGCAATGAACTTGACATTAGTTCTAAAAGGTTTGCTGTAACACAGGGCTTTATAGGGTATTAGATATTGCATGATGCTTTGCCTTTACATATTAGCTTTTCTTCATTTAGGAAAAGGGCTACAGCTCAGTGGTAGAACAGCTGCTTTGCATGCAGAAGGCCCCAGGTTCAATCCCTGGCATCTCCAGGTAGGGTTGGGAGTCTGAATTCCTGGAGATCTGCTGCCAGTCAGTGTAGACAATACTAAGCTAGATGGATCAATGGTCTGATAATTAATGCCTAAGAATTTGCTGTCCTTTCAAGCCAGCCAAAATCAGCAGCCAGGGCTGACTGACTCTAATGGCAGGGCACAACCGCATAGCGATGTCACATTGTTCATTTGTGTTCCAAATCGACAATTAGCACTTAGGAATGGAATTCTGAAAATCTCAATGTTGATGTTAGCTGCATGGATTTCCCCCCCTAATTCCTGCTTTGTTCCTTAATCTCAGTGAGAAGCAAGGCATTTTTATACCAGTTCTGTTTAATATTATATGTATATTATAAATGTATACATTCCAGCTTTTCTAAAGAAACCAGCACTTAAACAGATACATATAATGATGCATATAAATGTACAAAAATACATACAAAATTATGCTGTAGAAATATAATACATAATGTATAGTATGTTCCTATGATCCTTGTGAGTGAAGCCGTCGGGAGTCTTGTACTCTCAGCAGGATCACCCAAGACGGCAAGGTCAAGGGGGAGGAGCTAGACAAAGAATGATCCAAGAAGTCCTCAGCAGCAGAACAGGCAGAAGATAACAAGCGGTATGTTACAATGACTGTGAAGGCAGATGAAGGCTGCAACAGATAATAATCTACTGGTTGTTGTGATACTCATGCCATCGGAATAGAGCCTTACTGCAAAGACTGTGCGTTGGTCAGCGGGCACTGATCTCCACATACAAAACAAATTCACTCAAAGGCATCTTCCAAAAACTCATCCTCCAAAAAAGCCAAAGTGCTGCACCAACAAGCACAAAACAACCCCTCTGCGCCACAAATCAAACTTAATGGTGTAACGCTGGAAAATGTTGATCGCTTTCCCCACCTGGGCAGTTATCTTTCCACAAGGGCTGTCATTGATGCCAAAATCCAGCATCGCCTGAGCTCTGTGAGCGCAGCTTTCTCCCAACTGAAGTGCAGAGTACTTGAGGACTGGGACATTCGCAGGGAAACCAAAATGCTTGTTTACAAATCTATTGTACTACCAACCTTACTGTACGCTTGTGAAACATGGACCACTTATAAATGGCATCTCCAGCTCCTCAAAATATTCTATCAATTGTGTCTCTGAAAATTTTTTACATATCACTTGGGAAGGCAGGCGAACTAATGTCAGTGTACTGAAAGAAGCAACGATCACCAGTGTCAAAGCAATGGTTCTTCAACATCAACTTTGTTGGACTGGTCATGTTCAGATTCCTGATTATCGTCTTCCAAAGCAATTACTCTATTCCGAGCTTAAAAATGAAAAGTGTAATGCTGGTGGTCAGCAAAAGAGGTTTAAAGGCTCTCTCTAAGGCAAATCTAAAAAAAATGTAAAAAACACACACATATAATTGGGAAACACTGGTCTGTGAAAGAGAGAAACAAGCTAAGTGGAAGGCACGTGTGGCAAACCTTCACCGTGATCAACTCCTGCCTGGAAACCTATGTCCCCACTGTGGAAGGCCATGTGGATCCAGAACTGGCATCCACAGTCACCTATGGACACACCGTGAAGACCATGTTAATGGAAGACAATCTTATTTGGCTATGAGTGATCGCCAAAGAAGAAAAAGAATTTTGCATATAATTACTTGGTTTCTTAAAAAATGAAATAAAATCCAACAATGTACAAGTGGCTCAGATATAGGTGGGCAGTTGGTACAAAAGGCAGTTGAATGCAAGTAAAGCTCAGTTGGGTCAGAACCACCAAATTCCATGTGTAAATCTGTTTAAAACTAATTACTCCTCCATCCATAGTGCAACTGGTAGAGAGAGTAGACTGATATCCTTGCCTCTTTTTTGGCACAATAACAATACTCTCTTCTTTTTATGTGTTATCTAGTTAACTGACAGTTCACTTGGCTTATTCCCAAATTCAATGTAATTTTATTTCATATAATTCAGTAATGCTCATATCACATTTTTATATTACATTGTTTTAATTTCATTAAGTTTTATACACTCTATTTAGCAACTTTTTGTTTTATGCTGTTGTGTCAATTCAGTTATTTTCTCTAATAATCTAGCCAATTCCCTCTCTCCTTGTTAATTCAAATAAAATGATAATTCTTAAAAAAATAAAAAATAAAAATGAGCCCGTTGTGACTTTTTAGATTATCTTTATGCCGTTTTCGCCTTCATAATCACCTCATGAAAGAGGCCGCTAATATTAGCATTTTAAAGATTGCTGTGGTTGGGTTGAGGATAAAGAGTCAATGTCTTCTCAAAACACATTAAGGGAATTCATGCTGCTGCTCTGCTCTGTTTTAGAATGAGGACTTGAACTCGGGCCCCTTGTGTCCAGGTATAGAGGGATGGGGAAACTTTTTAGCCCAAGAGCCACATTCCTTTGAGTTGATCTACACTCCCACTCCCACTACCCCCTTCTCATAACAATGTCACAGGAGAAATTTGAACCTTGAGCTAGACAATGTAATAGTCTTTGCAGGGCTGACCCAAGAGATTTTGACAGTGGTGTAGCACGGGTTGCTAGAGCCCGGGGCCATGTGGAGGGAGGGTTAGGGTTGTCTAATGGTGTCCACGTCACACAGGAAATTGCAGCCACCTGGATAATAATAATAATAATAATATATATTTATTTATTTATTTATTTATTTATTTATACCCCGTCCATCTGGCTGAAGTCGTTCCATTGTCTGGAGAGGTCACTTCCTGGTTTGCACGGAGAAGCCATTTTCAACAGAGCCCAGCAATGGAAGTGCACAGCTATACTGAGGCAGCACCGGGTGTTGAAATTTTGCACCCCAAACAATTTAGCACCCGGGGCAACCACCCGTGTGACCCCCCATGCTACGTCTCTGCATTTTGGCACCTGAGATGAACCATGGAACTGCCACCTGAAGCTGCAGCTCCTTCACCCTTCTGAGCTGCTGCAATAAAAGGCAAGGCGATGGGGGGCAGGAGGAAGAAGTGGATGAGTTTGAGCACTCTTTCTATCAACTACTGCTCTCCTTTGAGCAACAAGAGAGGTGACTGACATATGGGGACAAGGTGGGGACAGAGGGTTTGTACAGTGCAAGAGGAGAGCTGGTGGACAGAAGAGGAGGCAATGATGGCAGAGGCAGCAGTGGGTTGATCCAACACCCAGGGGGTCCAGATCCATTGCCCAAAGCAAGGTGTTTCACTCCGCAGCATGCAAGGGCCACCCACGAGTCTTCGCATGCATAAATGCATCTGCCTACACAATCAGTGATCTGGGGACAGAGATCTGAGGATTTGAGGAAGCCCTGAGAAAAGTGTCCTCTGGTAGAAGTGGTGGTGGTGGGCTGCTGGGGTTGAGCTGGGAGCATCGGTCTGCCATTTAACTTTCCCACAATGCTTGGGATCAACACTACTGTGTCTCACACAGAGAGGCAACAAGCTGTGGGTGGCTACTATGGGTGCAATTGAATCAACTGGCTTCCTGCAGCTCTTCTGTGGCACACTAGTGGGTGCTCCAGTGGGAATCAAGGTGACACACATTCCTGCTTGAGCCTGTAGAGGGGTATTTTCATAAATCTTGAGAGCCAAGAGAGAGAGCAGCCTCTGTGCTTTTTGTAAAGTTACATGAGCCACACAGTCTGAGGCAATGCTAGATTAAACCCTGTGGGGGGCCCTAGGCAGTTGAAATCTTGGGGCCCCCCTCGTAGATCATCTCCTAATACATTTTTGTAATTTTATCTCAAGATCAAACCAATATTATTTTGATCCATTGTCTCCGGGCCCCTAAAAGGTGTGGGGCCCATAGTCCAGTGCCTACTCTGTCTACTTGGTAATCTGGCACTGGTTTTAGGAACTTCCTGTCCTTTTCTGTTCCCAAGCAGTGATTGCTGGGAAGTGAACATGACAAGGTCTGGGCTGCAGTGAAAGGCAGGGGGCAGGGTGCTAATGAAGGTGACATCAATTAAGCGAGCCCTCTGCCAGCAACAGCCGGGTGAAGGAAGAGTGATAATTAAGGAGGGACTCACTACTTCACAAGCCAAGAGAAACCTAAGCCTTGAAGGATAAGGAAGGGCGATGCTGGGGCATGGTGATGACAGACAAGAGAGCGCCATTGCCTTTGTCACTCTGAACTCAAATGCAGACTTTTCTCAACATGGTGTTTCTTAAGTGGGGCTGCAAGCTTTGATCAGCTCATCAGCATAGATAATGGCCTAAAGGAGGGATGGGGAACCTCAGCTGAGTCCATCTATTCCTGGCTCTGCTAAGAGAGATATACCGGCTAGGCTAGGAGAAGTGAGTTATGCTGGCATAACCCTGAATGAGTCCCAGCTCATATTGGACAGCCAAGACATGCCTATTCCAAACTCACTCATCCTGGCAGATTTTGGATTTCGATTGTGCTGTTAAGGGCAGATTGTTGTTCCTAATGGGATGGGGCGCCCACTGAATCCACTCTGGTTATAGGTCTGAGCCGCCCCAATAGAGAATGAGAACAGAAATTATTCAATAAACGACAATAAAGAACACACGGTTGTCAGAGGAATTCAGTCTTTGCACATTCCCATAGGAACTGACCTGATCAACTTTACTACCCATATTAATGAGAAAACTCAAATATAGTTATCCACTTTTGCTCCTCCTACATGTTCTGACACTGGCTCAATCATAATCATAGAGGAATCACAGAATTGAGGGGGTGGAAGGGACTATGAGGGTTATCTAGTCCAACCCCTTGCAATGCAGGAATCTTTTGCCCAGTGTGGGTCTTGAACCCACGTCATGCTCTACCAACTGAGTTGTAGAGGTCTCTGTTTTTATTTAAAATTGCACCAAATAATTCAAAATGCATTTAAAAATGTGTTTCAAGTTACAATTGCAGATTGCTGTACACACTAGAGAGGAGGCAGGGATGCCTTCACATGATGTGTATTACCTGTTTGGTTTTCCCATCTCTGCAACCCTCACTGCCCCCCCACCCCCATCTCCT